TTCTGTAACTGAGTTTTTGACGGAGAAAATATAATAGAATGCATGTTTTTAATAACTACACCATACCCTCTATTAATACAGTTTTTTAATAAATGTGATACATTATTTATTATGATTATGACATTTTTCCTTTTTTTAATAATATAATTGTAATTGTTATTTTAATTGATATTGACATAAAATAGAATTCTGACCTCGTATGATGTATTAAATAAGCCCAACTCGTTATTAATGTTATCTTATTGCATGCCTAAAGGTAGAATGTGGCAGAAAAAAATATTATAACTGTAACACCTAATTGTAAACCCATGTTCGCAATGAAAATAAACTGATTGATTGATTGATTGATTGATTGATTGATCACTTCATAGTAATATGGTAATCGGATAATAGTTTTATAATTGTAAGTATTGAATCAATAAAGAATTTAGTTTGTGATGCATTACTAAACGCATTATTTACGTATTTGAAAATCTTGTAGTGGAATATAAGGAAGTAAAAAAAAGTGGCAACTGCAAGCCTAAAAAAAAACAAAGGACAGAACTCTTGACAGAGGTTGCGGTGTTAAAATACTAAGACTAAACGTCTGCGCGACAGGCGGCGAATGGCCGCCGCCGATTATATTAGTTTAGGTTTACAATTTACAATTCTTTACATGTTGAAATAGGCAATAAATCATATGCATATCTATATAAGTATAAGATGATTATTTCATGCATCAGACACATTAAAAGTGATATGAAAATAATTCTTTGTTATCTTTTTTATTTCATTTAAATGGCACACATACAGACCTATGTATTTCTTAGCGTTCCATGGATTCACCGTGCGGGTGCCGGGTCCATCGCGTGATAGATGGGAGCAACACATGCGACTTCAGCTTAAAACAATTCAAGAAAACAATTTAAAAAGTTGATAGCCATAGATAAATTGATAAAATAAAAGAAACATTATGGAGCTATCTTATAAAAGGTTTTTTTGAAAAATGCAGTGCTTAACTAAAAAATCAAATGCTGATATAACCCTATTTTGCCCAAACAAAAATTGTTTTACTCATAGATTCTAAAAAAAGTCGAATTTTTAAAAAAAAATTTTCACCACAGGACTATACAATTTGATTCCAAAAGTTTTTTTTTGTATGGAGACCCGCCATTGTTCTTTACTATTCCCTTACATACTAAGTCGTGACTACATATGCAGAACGACCAAATATAAAATTTACTGACAACAGGTAACACATACAGGTTTTTATCGACTTTTTACTGACTTTAAACAAATATCGCGCTCAACTTAATACTACACTAATCAATATACGAGTAGTCAATTTCGTGACACAGGTGTAATAAACTAAATGTACCTAATCACCAATTGTTAAGGTATATATCTATTTTAAGATAGACTGATACTTAGTTCTTTGAGCTCATGGTTTAATTTCGTAAATCAAAAGTAGATTGAAATTAATATTGACTGCTTCGGTAGTGCATATTTGAGGCACTCAAAAGCCAATTAACGATAATTAGAACGGTAAATGTATTATATTATTACACTTCCTTCAAAACAGGCGTTTTTCCTGAGGTGTGGAAACAGGCTAGAATAGTACCCGTTCACAAAAATGGCAAACGAGATATAGTCTCTAATTATCGGCCTATCTCCATTCTATGTACCCTGTCTAAGGCTTTCGAGTGTCTTATGTCTCCTGTATAATATGATCACGTAAAGAAATGTATATCCCATAATCAGCACGGTTTCATGGTAAATAAGTCTACAAACACAAAAATGTAAGTAACATTACGGAATTGGCGTCTGCAGTTGATCAATGTTTTCAGGTACATACAATATATACTGACTTCTCGAGGGCCTTTGATGATGTTAACCATAAATTATTATTGAAACTTCGTTCTCTCGGTATTACAACTCCACGCTGTTGTGGCTCCTATCTCAACAATAGGCAATCCTCAGTTGCCTCAACGGCAGCCAGTATGAGCCATATTTTCTACATCCGGTGTACCTCAGGGTATCAATTTGGGACCACTATTTTTTAATATATTCATCAATGATATATAACAAGTGTTCAACACCGTATCTTTTCGTAGATGACTTAAAATTGACCCGTATATTTTTTTATGAATCAGACGTAAGTACATTTCAAGCTGACCTAGATAGTTTAATTCAATGGTGTCTCAGTAACACAATGAATTTAAACTGTGCCAAATGTTACCACATTAAATTCACCAGAAAATGCAACAAAATCCCATCTGAATACAACATTCAAGGGGGAGACAAGTTAAAAGAAGTAACCACTATTAGAGACTTAAGAATACATTTGGACAGTCAACTTAACTTTATACATCATTATGATAAGATGACTAACTTAGCATATCGAGAGGTTTTGTACTAGGTTCCTCGAAAGAATTTAAAAAACTATTCACCATGATCCTTTTATACAATAACTATTTACAAAGGCATTTTAAATATTGCAACACGGTATGGAACCCAATGTACCAAGTTCACATAAACAAAATAGAACAAATCCAAAACAGACTAGTTAGACATCTAGCTTACCGTTTTGGGGTTAGGAATTTAAGGACTTCCGAGCATAAACTAACGCATTTCAAACTTAAGGACCATCCTATTATCTCTGACCTAGTATTCCTATACAAACTGTTCCATAACTACATTGACTGTCCACACCTCCTCAGTAAAATTAGTATAAGTGTTCCAACTAGAATTCCACGCTACTCTAGCCCGCTATTTAAGGTCTTAAGGGCCCGGACAAATTGAGGGAAGCAAGCACCAATTGCTAGGATGACTCACGAATATGACACCATTTCAATTCCTTTGGGGACATAGACGCCTTTTCTAATAGACTGGCTAAATTTTAAAAAAAGTTCGTACTCTGATATTGAACACTGTTTAATTGTTGACCTACCTACTTTGCTGGAACTAAGAAGTAAAAATAACTAAAAAAAAACTTCAAGAGAAGAAAAACATAACATAACACACAATACTAAACATAAACAAAAATAAATTCTAGCCTACCACTTCTAATCAAACGTTTATTAAAAAAATGAAAATTAATCCAAATGTTCTTGACAGTTTTTGTCAGAATCCTCAGATTATCTATGTTGCAAAATAATACCGTGTGTCTGAAGAAAAATAACACGTATAGCCATGCTTTCACGTCAGTCACAGCCGGCGGACAGCGACCCACTAGCTAATTGGTGGAGCGTCCCGCCCCGCGTCCCGCAAATCACCTGGAGAGCTAAGCTTACGGCGCGGCGATTTGACTTTAATTACCGGTGAGTATCTTAACGATTTCACCGCGATAGGTTTTCTTTGACAATATAAATATGTCTATATATTTTCGAATCTCTCAGTATACATATGTGCGAACTAGCCGGGTCATAACAGCATTTCCACCATAATTGATGCGATGGAACGGTACGTTAAACAAATGCGTATGTCTATTCCGTGATTTTCACGTACTGAATTCGACAGTTGAAAGTAGCTCACAACTGTCCAAATAGTTATGATGTAGGTGCTCTGAATTCGGTTCTTTAGTACGGTTTTTTACAAGTTAATTATTTTTGTCAAATCTACTATATCATTTCAATAAAATTATCGATGTTTGAATTAATTTAAGCGAAGTGACGGATTAAGAATACAGAGTGTCACCACCCCTATTCATCTCCTAGGTGTCGTAAGAGCCGACTAAAGTAGCAAACTACGCAGAACAATAGCACTTCAAAGAGAAGGAAAGCTTGACACAAACCCTATACCTACCCGTCTGGCCAACGTGGTATAGTAGGTCAAAACCTCCTTTCTAAAGAGAAGACTATGTCCAGCAGTGGATTATTAAAGGTTGTCGATGTGATGTGTGATGTGAAGCGAAGTCCGAAGAGGTTAATTAATTTATCAAAGTAAAACTATTATAACGAATAGTTCGATACCACCTTCGTTTTTAGGACCAAAGTCTAATAAGAAAGGTTGAATGTAGATATAATTTATTTTTTTATTAATACATTTACAATAAAACAATTTCCAAAAATTTGGAATTAACAGCGGTTTCCGCACTAAGCTCGTAGCTTGTATCAATCAGAATATTTTAAATACATTAAATAAACATTAATAATCTTGTTGCCCTTCAGCTGTACAGCTGTGTATTGTAATCGGAGTAATTATTTTTTATCAAATATGCGTAAGCTGTAGTATCGTCTAGATTCTGAGGGAATAATGTTCAGTTGTCATTTTGTAGTCGAGGTATCTCGAGTAATAACAAATCGCGTTCCAATAGCGAATTAATTTATTGATATACTTATTTTTTAAGCTCTGATAACTATTAAGACGCTATTTAACCAATCAGGGTGTTCATGTGCAAGAATTCATATCCCATTCCTACATTTAACCAGTTTGTTAAGTTTATTGATTGATTCTTTATTGGCTTTGGATTCTACTGATTAATAAGGTACTTCTTTTTGGATGTATCTTCAGTAAACTTGCACTACACGAAAAAAAGGCAATGGTAAGCTGAACTTGAATCCGGAATACGGACCTTTCGTGATCGTTCCATCAGTGATTAAACGGAAGCTTTCGAAAATAACGGTATCTGGTGACCACTTGTCTCAGATGATAGAAGATGGATGTGAAAGCCTCGGTGTGAATATCTGTGCCTAAGAAGATTTACTAATTATTTTTAACCGTTTACAAAAAGATTTATTCAAATTATTACAGAAAAATAAATTCGAAACATCTTAATGTGAAAAATCGGAACTTAAAAATTTTAAAATGTTAATTAGTGATTTAAATAAATAACAATCATATTCACAAAACAAGATAAAATACTGTGTGTGTGTGTATTGTTACAAATAAAATTGCAATTAAAATAAGAAAAATAAAGAAAATACTATTATTTATATGCTGTTCTAAAATTTGAAGACAGAAATAAAAGTACTCCAATAAATTATTAAGTTAAAACATAAAAATCTCAAACACTATTTGGTATGGGCTTATGGAGTAAAAAGTGGTTGGTGCTGTGGTCTCTGTGGGCGGCCCGACTTCTTCCCCAGCCGACCCTAGTGATCCAGGTGAGCAATGGACCAATGAGGGGGACGATTTCTCCTGATGGATCACATGCCCAGTACTCAGGCATACCTTATGCTACTATTACACAGAGATTTCAGGTGAGCAAAAATTTAAATTCACAGTTTAGCAGTTATTTATAGGTTTTATGACTTGAATCGGAAAACATAAATTTAAAAACTTAATTACAAATATTCCGTTACAGAGTCCCGGACCAGAACCTGTATGGGAATATGTGTTTAATGCTATAGACGAACACGCTCGTTGTAGTCAAAGTCTACAAGACATTTTTATGATGGGCACAGAACAATGTCTCGTATTAAATATTTACAACCCTCTGAATATCACTCCTAATTCCAAGCTACCCGTTATGGTTTTCATCCATGGTGGTGCATACTACAAAGGTTCAGGAGGTAGTTTACTTTACGGCCCAAAATACTTGGTATCCAAAAACGTGATCCTTGTTACTCTAAACTATAGAATCAATATTCAAGGGTTTCTGTGTCTCGGTATCAAAGAGGCTCCAGGGAATGCTGGTATGAAAGATCAGGTGGCAGCCCTACGTTGGATTAAGAAAAATATTAAAAACTTTGGTGGGGATCCGGACAACATAACATTATTCGGGGAAAGTGCTGGAGCCTCATCAGTTTCGTTCCATTTATACTCTCCAATGTCAAAGGGACTTTTTCATAAAGCTATTCTTCAGAGTGGATCAAGTTTAGCTCCATGGGCTTACCAATACCGTCCTGTATTCTTAGCCAGTCTTTTAGCCAAGGTGATGTCATTTGAATCAGAGGACCCTTACGATTTGTACAAATTTTTCATGACGAAGACCGATGATGAATTGATATTAACCAGAGTCCCAAGAATAGCAGGGACTGTTATTACTTCAGAAATTCTTTATACACCTTGTGCTGAAAAAGTTATCGAGGGTGAAGAAGCATTTTTAACTGAGTCTCCTTTTGATATTTTAACCAGAGGAGATTACAATAAAGTTCCAGTAATTCTAGGTGCCAACGATGAGGAAGGTCTTCTTCTATTTTTTTTGGACAAGGCTGATATGAAAGGAAACATAAAACTTGAGAAATCATTACCAAAAAATTTGGAATTTTCCTCTGAAATTGACAGGTTGGAAGTTGTACAAAAGCTATTAAGGTTGTATATAGAAGAAGATATATCTGTAAATACAATTGTAAACATAACTAGATGGATTGGCGAGGTGGGTTTAATTTATCCTATGCTTGAAGAAACTGAATTGCAGCTGAAGACGAATGAAAATCCTATATACAACTATATGTTTCAATACTCTGGTAACAGGAATATACCTAAAATGTTGATGCCATCAAGTTTGAGATCTGTGAAAGGCGCTACTCATGCCGACGAAATATTTTACATATTCTCACAAAATATCATCCCGACGACGATTTTCGAGAACAGCATAATCGAAAGCATGACAACCATGTGGACGAATTTTGCAAAATATGGGTAAGTGGTTTTTTTTTACGTACAGTCAAACGTCACATCACATCAACAGCCCTTAATAGTCCACTGCTGGACATAGGCCTCTCCTTAGAAAGGAGGTTTTCCAGACGAGTTGGAAGAGTAGGCTAGGTTTAGTTCAAGTTTTCCTTCTCTTTGCAGTGATGTTGTCCTATGTAGTTAGCTCCCTTAGTCGGCATTTACGACATCCATGGGACATACGTACTGCTATCCAGCAGGCTTCTACTAGGGTGTCAGACAGCCTCACCTGTGACCTGCAGGCTTGCGCTTCTGGAGGACGGAGGTCGTTCTGCGACCTCTGACGATGACTCAAGTCTGCGGTAACTAGCGGTATCTTTTTGGGTTGTCGTCAGTCCATGAATGTTCCCCATAATGATTGTTACTATAACATACTTGTCTGCACTTGGTTTCCAAAGTTCGTAATTTGGTTACAGAGATCCTACACCAGACTTTACCAATCCTCCGATTAAGTGGTATCGTACCAACAGTACATCACTGACGGCACTGGTGATAGACTCCGAGTTCAGCACAGCACCTCTGTGGTACAATGAAAGAGTCAAGTACCTCAGAGAAGTGTACTCCAAGTTCAGAAGGAAAGGATAACAAAGTTTTTAAGTTATTATAGGGATGTGCCAAATTAATAATTGTGATATTTTTTTATTATTGTGATAATGAGACAGATTTTAGAGGATATTTAGGGGATTCATTGAGTTTTATGTTAAGGAGATTTTTACTATATTTTGTAAATTAGGAATAGTTATAATGCTTTCTGAATCATTTTAATAGAATCTAAGGCTGTCTGGAAGAGACTCCATGAAGAAAAATGGCTGCCATTCTCACATTGTCTGTTTACACTATATGTAAACACTTTACTCTGTAATGATATTGTACAGTTTGTCAAGAAAGTCATGAAAAAAATTGAGGGCGCCACTGCCGTTATGCCTAGTAAGTTACCCGAAGTATACTTCGATTAAAATTTTTTGATATCTTGTTTTTTTTATTATTTAAATCTAAATAATTGTTTTATGATACCTGAATCCCCGTATAATCCCGCGTAGAGTTCTGTGATTGCAAACATTTATTTATTATAAATGTCTTGAAAAGTTAATTAAAATAAATACTTGGGCGTTACAAAAGATTGCAATCGGAAGATTGTAAAACAAATTAAGTTTAAGTTTATTCCATCAATCATCATCTTCACATCAACAGCCTTTAATAGTCCACTGCTGGACATAAGCCTCTCCTTAGTAAGTAGGTTTTGGCCTACTATACCACGCTGGCCAGACGGGTTGGTATAGGGGTTGTGTCAAATTATCCTTCTCTCTGCAGTGCTGTTATTCGACACCCACGGGATGAATAGGGGTGGTGACACTCTGTATTCTTAATCCGTCACCACACGGACCAACTATATTTATAAATGTATTGAGGATGCTTCTCTCTTAAAAACCAAATACACCTTTTTGGCTCAGTGCCTTCTCACTTACTCTATCTTCCTGGGAAGGGCTAACAAAATCACACTATAAAGAGCTGAGATAGCCAAATGTGCTAATTTGAATGAGTGTTAATTAAACCTTACTACATTTACATAATATAACATAGTGTAAACAGACAGTACATAACTACCTGCTTAGCCTTTCATATGATGAAACAGAAGAGTTAACAAATTCGTAGCTAACGATAACTTGTATTCAGCCAAACACACATTCAGAATACACACAAACACAAGCAGTATGTATGAATATCTCAAGGAATTACTAAGCCCTTAATAGTCAAGTAAAAATATATTAGGCAATAAAAACAATTGTGAATCAAGGGGATCCTCTGCCTATTGAAACACTTATGTTGCACTTACGAATAATTAGTTACGTAAAGCATAGAAAGCACATAATAGCCAGATAGCAGACACATGGTGTTTAAATAAAATAAAAAAAAAGTATTAAATTGTGTATTTTTTATAATACTAATCTATTCGTCTAAGTCAAGGTATTCAACAGTCATTTATTTGGTCCACTTGGACCTCTTCGGAATCACTGGAACTATCCCCACATACAGATACAATAAGTATGTCTATGTCGGGTGAAATTTTAATTTTAATTTTTTATTACATGCTCAATACAATTCCTGCATTCTTGTGCTGTTACCGTCTAGAATGCTTCTTCAGTCAACTTCGCAACATTTTACTACTGACATTTTTCTGTGCAATTCATCTCTTCACTTTTGCTCACACTAATTCTATGGGATTCAGGCCGTAGTGTAGGTCATGCCATGTTCTCCTAAAGGATCATCAATATAGTACACAAATTCTGGTTTATGTTTTTTTTTCAAGCATTAAAAAAGAAAAAGATGGCTTTTGTAACGATTCATAATTTAAACTACCAAAACAAAAAAAAAACAATAGTTAAAATAAATAAGATTAGCTCGTAAGATCTGTTGTATTTACTTTGTGCAATAATAGTTATTATTATTTAAATCTGCCTTCACAACTGCCCGTAATTTTCTAAGTGTAGTGAACTTCTTTCTGCACTGCTTTTTTTTTATGTTAGAGGGGGCAGACGAGCAGACGGGTCACCTGATGGAAAGTGACTATAGCCGCCCATGAACGTCTGCAACTCAGGAGTCAGAAACGCGTTGCCGGCCTTTTAGGAAGGAGTACGCTCTTTTCTTGAAGGTTTGAAGGTCGTATCGTTCCGGAAATACCGCAGACGATAACCCGTTCCACAGATTGGTTGTGCGGGGCAAAAAGTGTCTCGAAAAGCGCACAGTAGTGGAGCGCCAACTATCCAGGTTACGAGGATGAAAACTTTACTGTGACGAATCACATATATATTGAAATCATCGATCTGTTTCTTTGGCCGGCCTTGTCGTGCTTGGCCTTTAAAGCCTTTATCCACTATGCGATGAACTGTGCTTACAGAAACATCTGAAACCAATATAGGCATACTCCATCTATAGCAGCATAATTTATATTTTGTATAAATCACACAGTTAATACAAAATAGATGAAGAATGTTTGAAGTAAGAAAAGATACAGTTTAAATCTATGACAAAGATTCCGTCTGGGTTAGGCAGAGACGTTAAAATGTCATTTGTTATTATCCTGGCATACATCTTGCGTTGCTTCCACATTCATCAGATATTTTATACACGCTGGTTGGTTACGGGTGCTTTTAACTAGACTCTGTACTCTAGACTTTGTACACTGCCGCTCTGGGGGTCTTTGACCTCCATGAGCGTAGTAACCTTCTATAGTAATTCGCATTTCGCTAATCCAAAAAAATCGCACTTTTTATAAAGTAAACCATTTTCTCACCTTATATTTCCTTGTAAAAAAATTAAATTAGAAAAATGTTAAGTGAAATGTGTTATATTCTAAATTTTTAAGAGACAGTAATAAATGTGTTTTGACAACCGATTTTACACCATCAAATAAGAGCTCAGAAACAAATTTACCATGGGTCTATGCAGTACAAAGTGGTTAGTGCTATGGTCTCTGTGGGCGGCCCGACTTCTCCCCCAGCCGACACTAGTAATCCAGTTGAGCAATGGACCTGTGAGGGGGACCATCTCTCCTGATGGATCACATACACAGTACGCAGGCATACCTTACGCCACTATCAGACAAAGATTTCAGGTGAGCAACATTTATATTAACTAACCTTTAAATTGGGTCTAGACGTCTAGAAATACTTGTATAATTTTTTGTGTCCAATAATTTACTAACCTTATACTCAACGCAAGGACAACACACGCTGAGAAAAATGTTTATTACAATGGCATATGGGTACTCTAAAACAGTACTGTTTTTCTTAACATGATACACCTGTCACCTGTCTGTCTGATCCCAAATTAGACGGAGTCTGTGCTATTGTGACCAGAATTCTGATGGACATAAATTAACACATGACGATATGTCCTGGGTGGGCTTGGTATTCATGAGTGTACACTGTAGTCATTATCACTACAAAGTCGGACTAGATAGCCAGCTAAAACTTGTCTCGTTCCTATCAGGAATGATTATTTCCTTTCCTTTTTTGTATAACATTGCATTCAATTACACTATCTCTAAAAACCTGAGCTCAAAATATTTCGTTTCAGAGTCCTGGCCCACATCCGACATGGGATAATGTTTTCGATGCCATAAATGAACACAAACATTGTTTCCAAAGTATAGAAGACACTGTGATGACAGGCACCAAACAGTGCCTCATACTAAACGTTTACAACCCTCTGAATACTACCCCTGATGCCAAACTACCAGTTATGGTTTATTTCCACGGTGGTGGATTTTTCAAGGGTTCAAGCGGTAGTCTCCTGTATGGGCCAAAATACTTGGTCCCCAAAGGCGTGATACTTGTCACTGTCAACTATAGAGTTAACATTCAGGGGTTTCTGTGTTTACGCATCAGAGAAGCTCCAGGGAATGTTGGTATGAAAGACCAAGTGGCAGCCTTACGATGGGTTAAGAAAAATATCAAAGAATTTGGTGGGGATCCGGACAATGTCACAATATTCGGTGAGAGTGCTGGCGCGGTATCAGTTTCTTTTCATTTGTATTCCCCAATGTCAAAGGGACTTTTTCATAAAGCTATTCTTCAGAGTGGATCAAGTTTAGCTCCATGGGCTTACCAATACCGTCCTGTTTTCTTAGCCAGTCTCTTAGCCAAGGTGATGTTGTTTGAATCACAGGACCCTTATGATTTATACAACTATTTTATGACAAAGTCAGATGCTGATTTGATACTAACCAGGGTGCCGAGAAAGGAAGGGAATCTTATCGCTTCAGAAATACTTTATACACCTTGTGCTGAGAAATTAATAGAGGGTGAAGAACCATTTTTAACAAAGTCACCACTTGATATCTTAATTAAAGGCGATTACAACAAAGTGCCAGTGATGATAGGCGGCAATAATGAAGAAGGTCTTTTACTTTTTGCTATGGATAACGCTACTATGACACGTCGCATTACATTTGAGAAATCAGTACCAAAAAATTTGGAATTTCCATCTGAAAATGTCAAAATGGAAGTAGCACAAAAACTAAAGAGGTTATATATGGAAGGCGATAAAATGCCTATGGAAGGAGAAACACTGTCTCAAAATGCTTCAGTGAGGTTATCAAGGTTGATGGGAGAGGTGGGTATCAATTATCCTGCACTTGAAGAAACTGAATTACTGTTGAAGACGAATAATAATCCTATATACAACTATATGTTTCAATACTATGGCAATAGGAATATACCTATGTTGTTGATGTCATCAAAATTGAGAGGCGTGAAAGGCGCTACTCATGCCGACGATATATTTTACATATTCTCACAAACTATCATCCCGACGACGATTTTCGAGAACAACATGATCGAAAGCATGACAACCATGTGGACGAATTTTGCAAAATATGGGTAAGTGTACAGTTTTTAAACATCTAAACTACCCCCAACAATTTCACTTAATTATAGGCGGATATAAGATTAGGCTTTCATTTGTTTCGAAGTTCTAATGTTTTTTTTAACACCTTTGTTTCCAATAATATATATACAAGTATATATACATACCCTGTTTTATTGGAAACATATATATACGTATATTAAATGTATATAACAAAAAGGTAAGTAAAATATGGACCGTTAAAGAAAATATGTTTATAGCATGAACAGATTGTTGACTTTGTGGTGCGTATTTTATATCATACTCGTATGACTTTTTGTGTTCTTGAAGAGCTCGTTAAATTTCATTGAACTGTGTACAGGCTTACTTCCTATAACGTAAGTAAAAGCTATATAAAATGTTGGCAAAATGTGCTGATTATTACTTCTTCCTAGTCGCTCAGGGATATGGACGTGAGTTACCTGTTCTCTGTTCATGGTGGAATTATCAACAGCCTTTGACAGTCCACTGCTAGATATAGGACTCTCCTTAGTAAGGATGTTTAGGCCTAATATACCACGCTGGCTTGACAGATTGGTGCAGTGCTGTTGTTCTGTTTGCTACTATCTACACTCATGCTATTATACTTGACCATGCAGGCTGTATTCCCAATGAGCAACTGTGACGTTAATTAATCACTTGATTTTTTTTTTGGGCTTTCGTCAGTTCATGAATATAATAATTCTTACTGTAACATACTTGTCTTCATTTGGTTTCCAAAGGTTGTATTTCGGTTGCAGAGACCCCACACCGGACTTCACGAATCCTCCGGTAAAGTGGCATCGGACGAACAGCACAACACCTACAGCTCTGGTGATAGACTCAGAGTTCAGCACAGCACCTCTGTGGTACAACGACAGAGTTAAATATCTCAGAGAACTGTACTCGAAGTTCCGGAGAAAAGGATAAGAAATACTTTTAGATAATTTTCACTTTAACTTACTGAAAATTTCCTTAGATATTACTGTATTTATTTTTGTTTGTTGGGTTGAATGTACTTGAATAAAATTGAGGATTTCTGTTATAGTCTGATTATTTATTTGGAAAATCTTACACATGCCCTTTTTAGCCACCTGTGTGAATCCACGGCCGCATAAACAAACGGTGGTAGGTAAGCAATCCTTTCGTTGCATTCCACTAAGTGAGTAAAGTGAGCGTCGTTAGCGAAGGCCTATCCAGACAGTAGAATATATTTGAAGCAAACTCGAATTTATTTATAATTATGTTTACGAGAATTTACGCGATCACGATAGGTATTAAGTACAAAACTTTCGAATGCCCGGCTTCTTAACCAGGTTACACGGGGCGTGGACGTAAGCTGACTGGCGCAGCGGTACGCGCCCTTTGTCTCCGAGTCCGTTAGGTAGACGTTTCTTCATCAACCCCTACTTCTTTGACATTATTGCCGACTTCCGGTCGGCCGGTCTTTAGATTATCAGTGGATTCCACGCTGCTGATAATTTAAAACCATCTTCCCGATTGAAAGTTTTATGTTTATTTTATTTCACTTTACTTAGAACTCTCGAGTAAAAACGACGTTCAGTGGAGAGGACTTGCGTATGGCGAAATTCAATTCAGTGCTTGGTTCAGGTGCATGTTCTGCGATCACTGATTTTGCCAGTCTGGCAGTTCTTCATTGCAGCATGTTCTTTGACCCTTTCAGCAAGAGTCGTCTGAGTTCTTGTTGGTTCCCGTAAACATAATTATGTATTGTGGAGCGCGATACTTTAAAAGTTTGTATAGCAAACTCGAATTAAAACCCAAATTTTAAACACACACACACACATCAAAGGACAGTGACTGCAAATTGATACGTCAACACTCGCTTGCCCAGTCTTCGAAAAAGTTCGTGAAAAGCGTCCTTGAAGCAATGTCCTCCTTCACCACGATAACGCATCCTCACATTCCTAAGGTAACAGAAGCCTATTTGAAGGCTTCAATTGTAGAATTGATGACGCTTCCGCCTTACAGCCCGGACCTCGCACCTTTCGACTTCTTTTTGTTTCCCAAAATTATATACAAACTAAGAGGCACACGGTTTACGATCCCTGAATCGGCAGTGAATGCGTTCTATGAAGCCATTGAAGAGGTCCCTAAGGAAGACTGGTCCAACTGCTTTGTACAGTGGTTTCAGCGAATACAAAAATGCATTAATTGCGAGGGAATATACTTTGATAAACCATAAATGTATCGTAAGTCTTATTTATCAGAATCCAGAAACTTTTAGTATGCCCTAAGTATACTGACATTATAGTTGTACTCTACTATCGTTTCGCCCAAAAATTATTATTAAAATAAATATGCTAAGATTTTAATAATTTTTCTGTACCCTTATAAACTATTAGGGGTAAAATTTTGAAAAATCTTTCCTTAGTGGGTGCTTGCAACACAGTGCTACAGTCTTTACCCCAGTGGTTTGTGTTTTGTTGAAGAATCAGTCAGGGCATGTATGTGTGGATTCGTCTAAACATAGAGTGTTACAATATCAGCGATTGCCTTAATTTAATATTAATTAATCGTTAAATACAAAACCCTATTAACCTTAGTAAACATCGCATAATCTCATAAAATTGATAAATGTTAAACAGAATATAATGAAATGTTTTTGTAGGAAGATTCCTTGCGTTGTAATATATAATTTGGCTTCGACCACTGATTCAAGCTACGGTCATTTAGCTACACTGAGGCCCTCTATCTATTGACCTTTGCTCGTAAACCGAAGGGACACTCGAGTGCATTCCCTAATTAGGCCAGCCGGTCCTTTTCCGAGGGTATGAATGGGTGGAACTTTGGACATTTCGCCCGGGGAATTATTTATTTCATTGCGGGAATGAAGAGTCAGCGATGCGTTGAGAATTCCTTCACTAGGCGTCTTAAGCTCTGATTAATTTTCAGCACTTCATTATGCGAAGTGGATCTTTTGCTTTGTTGGTTTTAGAATAATGAGTAACTGGTTCGTTTGAAAGTAAATTTAGGTCAGTAATATATTTTATTATTACATGTTCATAGTGCTGTTTTATGTGGATCACATATATATGTAGTGTTTTGTAAATTATTAATTACTAGATTTTATCCGTGGTTCCATCCGCGTATATGTCAGTTTAAAAGTAGTCTATGTTTTCCTCAACAATCAAAGTATCTCTGTGTATGGTTTAGCCGTGAAAGCGTAACAGACAGACAGAGTTTTGGGATTTTGGATGTCAAAATTCATGGTAACTTGTAAATTAAAGAAGTTCGCCACAGGATTATTTTTTATTTATTTATTTATACTTCCTGCAAATACATTGCATAAGGGGGAGTTAATGCCATGGGCATTTTCTTCCTGTCATCCTTGGGGTGATGCAGAGATATGTGTGTGGTGGCAGGTGTATAAGGAGATAAATTATTTAAGTTGTAGTCAGTTGCAAGATGTTACACTACATAGATATACTGAGTATACATATATAGATGTAAATATATTTTATACGAACGTATTATATAGTAATACTATAAATATAAAAAACATACACACATATATCCATACATATATGTCTGCGATGATGAAGACACGTGGGGTTATTCTGATGACGTCAACAAGTCTTATTTTCTGTATCAAGAAAGTACAACTTCCTTAGTTTTCACATTCCTATCTCCGTTAATGTGTAAAGTTAATTTAAGAGCTTTACAGCTTACTTTTACATCGAGTGTCTAAGACTTTGTGATAAATAATTATTCTTTAGCGTAACAAGTGACCGGCTAAACCCTAAGTATACAGATTTGTTATAAAGCATGAAGCAATCGACTGCACGGATGGCATAGTGGTTAAAGCGCTACGTCGAGTGTTGTGGGTTCAAACCCCACATGGGACGACACTTTGTGTGATCCACAAATTGTTGTTCTGAGTCTGGGTGTTCTTTATGCCCGTTTCATGTATGTTTGTAAAGTCACCTGAGACAAAGAATATATCCCTAATGCGGCAGTTTAATTTTTTATAATAAATAAGCAAACAGCAAGTTTATCTCTACTTGACCACCACTGAACATTATTTAGTCAGTTAAAAATATAAAGTTAGGATATGTGTATTGAATATAGAATAGGACAAATATAAATTTGAACTAAATAAGAAGACACAAAACAGATAATTTGTTTTTAGAATTAGAAGCGTCGTGTAATCAGCAATCTTAAAACCGTAGACAGTGCGGAAGCAAAATGTCCGGTATTTGAGAAAGTAAGCCGCTTACCGTGTCGGTCTCTTATTAAAGCGCGCCTGAATAGGGCCGGCCGAATGAATGAGTGTTTGTGAAACTATCCCGGTTAATCTTGGGCCCCGGCGGCCGCCTAAGCTGCTGTGTAAATACGCGAAAATCGGCGAAAAGCGCCAGACACCGCCGTGTTTGCCATTGTTTGTTGTTTAATGAGAACCTTTATAAAAAGTTAATGGGAATTTGGTGGCTTTAGAGCGCGCCCTAATACGGGCTTGAAGGTTATCACATGAAAGGTAGAAAGAAAAAAAACACACTAAACAGTTTCAACATTAGGTACTTTGTCATCATCATCATCATCATCAACAGCCTTTAATAGTCCACTGCTTGACATAAGCCTCTCCTGAGAAAGGAGGTTTTGTACATACCGTTTTATTAACTTTGTCTATTTGTTATCAATAACTAAATGTGTTAAGGAATAATACAGGCAATGTTTTGTTAAATTATGTAATTCGTTGTTAAATAATACTAATAAATAATAATAATAATAATTATACTAAACTCTTTGCACCTCTTTTTATCAAATACATCAAACGAAATATTACATTTATAATTTTTAAACATTAAGTTTATATGTAGAGGGTTAAAATTAAAAAAAAGCCTGCCATGTTTGAGTCGGACTCGCGCACGAAGGGTTCCGTACCATGATCTATAAAAACGGCACAATAATCATGTCTGTTGTATGGGAGCCCCACGTAAATAATTATTTTATTCTGTTTTGGGTATTTTTTATTGTAGCGTCAACGGAAATACATCATCTGTGAAAATTTCAACTGTCTAACTATCACGGTTCATGAGATACAACCTGGTGACAGACGGACGGACAGACAAACAGACAGACGGCTGGACGGACAGCGGATTTTTAGTAATAGGGTCCCGTTTTACCCATCGGGTACGGCACCCTAAAAATACATAAATTAAAGAATTATGTCTAGTACCAGAAAGTCTTTACAATGATAGTGCCATTTATTACTGTACCTACTTAATAGTATGTGAAACTTATCTACATTTCATAGCTGTGTACCCATTTATAGTTTAAGATTTTATACATACTAGAAGAAGCTACATCAACAGCCTATACTAGTCCACTGCTGGACATAGGCCTCTCCTTTGAAAGGAGGTTTTGGCCTACTATACAACGCTGGCCAGACGGGTTGGCATAGGGTTTGTTTCAAGTTTTCCTTCTCTTTGCAGTGCTGTTGTCCTGCTTAGTTTGCTCCCTTAGTAGGCTCTTACGACACCCACGGGATGAATTGGGGTGGTGACAAGCTACGGAGAAGAAGCTAACTAAGTCTAAAATACGGGTTTGGTCTAGTTTAGACGTCATGGATCATGTAAACATCCAGCTAAGGTTATATTGGTTAAGAAATTGGCAGTTTGATAGTCATACTTGGTATCACTTATTTACATTAAAAAAAGGTAATTAACTATGTGTGTGTTTGTTGGTTATCGCGGTAAAAAGTATTCTGTAGTACTCAGGAATAATGTTTACATGTACCTACTTTCTAACAGTGCAAGAATGTTCAAAATCGGATCTGTAGTACCGGAGATTACCCCAAACATACACACTCACAAACTTTACCTCCTTAAAATATTAGTATAGATACTAATTAGATGTACCACAGGTGTTATGAATATTAAAAAACAAGAAAATCCCTTAAAAAAAAA